TTATACTTATTGTATTATGGGCCTATGATTTATTATCTTAGAATGAGGAGAAAATGTCTGCTGTTTAAAGACATAAAAATAATATATTTGAATGTGTGAAATCAAAACACAGGTTAAAAATTCCAACAGGTGCAGCTACTGCTGAGTTATATCTTTAAACACAGCAATGAAGGAAATACAAAATGCTAAAGGTCACTTAGAACAGTAAAAGTATTTGATTATGTCAACCATTCAGATGAGATAAACCATCATCTGCTTCCTCTGCATCTGCTGATGTAGTATGTGTACACACACAAGTTTGGTAATCATTTTTTTAAAAGGTTCTTTCGATTCAGTGTTATTTTAGAATGTGAGGAGGGGGTGAGAGATTAAAATAACTCATCCCAAGAAGGGCAGTTACAGTCCAACTGTTTCTCAATGAAGATGGTGACTTTTCCTCTGAAACTTCAGTAAATATCAGGAAGCTCAGCAAGATGGGCACAACAGGCCAGGGTATCAACTTACACTCCTACATCCTGTGACTTTGGAGTCCTAATGTGGTGTCCTCAAGGTCACTTTATTCTCCAGCCCACTGTCCTCTATTCTCATTACCTGTGACTCATCATCAGCCTCAGAGATGGCTACCCTAGAGGCCTAGTCACAGCTGTCACTAGGTATAAAACGTCACATAGCCTGAATTTTCTTTTCTTTCACTTGTTTAACAACTCATTTTCCTTCTGTCCCTTCATTGAGTCCAATTTGTGAGAAAACTGGTTAGCTAATCTGTCCCAAAGTGTTCATGGGTGAAACTGTATTAGAGAGTAGCCTACTCAGGGACTCCATCTTCTTTTCAATATGGGCCTTTTGGAAATGGGGATTGGTGGGGAGGCTTCCATCGAACAACAATGCCAATATCAAAAAAGTCTGATTTGGGAGATGGAAAGATAATTCAACAGTTAAGAGCACTGGCTGTTCTTGTAGAGAACCTAGGTTCAGTTCCCAGCAGCCACATAGTAGCTAACAACTGTCCCTAACTCCAGTTCCAGAGGATCTGATGCCCTCTTCTGACCTCTGCAGGCATTGCATACACAGGTACACTTACATACATGCAGATAAATCACTCAATAAAATAATTTTTCAATGTAAGATATTATAGCCAGCAATTTTGTAGAAGATGGCCTATTGAGCCTTTCAAATCAATCCAAGCAGGTAGTTATATGTAAAGGTAGGATTGCATGGGACTTTGGTGAAAAAAACAGGTCTGACTAGCTACTGAATTTGCTAAATTTGTGCCTATATTGATGACTTCGCTCTTCACAAAATTTATTCATTAGCAGGTCTTTAACTATTATACTGAAAATTAGCAAAAATTCATTTTCTTCTTTTTAAAACTTTCTTTTTAAAGAAAACACTATGACAATTAAAAAACATTTGACAATAGTTTTTTTTTTACAAACCTGGATGAAGTCAAATACAGTAAGCGGCAGAAAGTCATCCAAAATTGCTATATCTTTGGAGAATCTGTTAAGAATCCCACCTACAATATAAAGAAAATTTCTTAAAAATCAATTGACTTTAAAAGGATACCATTCTACTTAGCACTAAGCTGGAGCACAGCAAAAGCATTCAAAATAATAATTAGCATCTAATCAGATAACTAAGGAATTAGCAAATTTTAGTTTTCAACAAAATTCTATATATTCAAGGTATCGTTTCCCATTTTTGAACTTTTAAAAAACAGATTCCACTCAAAACAAAAGGTCAGGACAGGAATGGGTGACCATCTCCCCACTCCAACTTCACTTCTGCCTCTGAGTTTAAAGGCACTTTGATGGATATGTTGTCCTCATTTCTTTATGTCCATACCCTACTGCAGAGAGCACACCCTCTCTTCTGACTTCTGTATCCTTTGACACACCTCTCCATAATCCACAGCTAGGTCTTCACTGAGTTCTAAGTGGATCTCCTTTGTTATTTTCTTTCTGTCCTCTTCACTGACAATCTGACCTTCAACCTGCCCTCTAAATTCCAGGCTCATATTTCTAAGTCTGATTATTTGTTGCTTCAAAGAAATAAAAATTCCATATGTGTGTTTACTATGTGTCTGGCAAGATGCCAGGCCCTAAAGGAGGTGAACAATACATGCCCCTTGCCCTTGAGGAATTCATTGTCTAAAAAGGAGTTAATCAAATATATAAAATGTAATGTAGCACTGTAAAAATAATGTGATAGTGAACCATATAATTCACTTACTATTAACTCCGGGACAAAGTCCAAACTCATTAGTTTAATACTTAATGCTTTCTATAATTTGGCCTTAACTCACCTACCTTCCTTTATCCAAATGTATTATCTCCGGCAAACTTTACTATTCCTTTAACAGTCTACATTTTCTACCTCTCTAATTTCTATGCATTTCCCTTTACCTGAAAACTCTTTCCTCTCACCCTTGCCTATCAAATCTGTATCTCCTTCCTGACTCAACACAAATGCACTTTCTGCAACAGAGTATTGGTATTTGCTACAGGTGGCAGCAATTGCTTCCTCGTCTGCAGGCTTGTGTTACAGTGACTATATGCATGTTGTATATCACAGTCACTTGTATATTCATATGCCCTGTTTCTTTTCCTAGATGGTAGATTGCTAGAGGTCAATCAGATAATTCCACATTTATTTTATAGGACTCATAGCCTAAGCAAAAGACTTTGTGTAGGCATTATTTGACATATATTTATTTATTCTTTAGTAAAGATATTTGTATGTATTTCCATCTATAGCCCATGATATTTATAATTACCATTTACAAATAGAAAGCTTGTTCAGTTAAAAAGTGTCATCATGCTTATGATATTTATATTTCATCTGATAATATTCTGTCAAAAATCGCCACATTTTGCTGGAGACCTACTATGAGCATATGGGCATTTGAGAGTAACAAAGGGGATTAAAAGTAACAGGAAAATCAGCCAAGGAGTCAGAGATAAATCAAGATCAAGAAAAGTCAGGTCAATGTACAATTTTGAAGGGCACAGCTGGGATAAATTGCAAGTGGTTGTTTGTTACCAAGTACAACTGAACAACTAGGTGAAAGGGGAACTCATAGACCATAACTCTCATAGAGATTTTTTTAATGAAAGTATGATGTTTATATACAAATATGGAAGTGGGCAGAAGCAGGGGCAGAAGAAAGATGTTCTAAGATCAACTTGCTATCTTAATTCTCAGGAGGGTAAATAAGGAGGAATTTAAACAACACAAAGGTGGTCAGCAACCATCCAGCAACACAAAAATTTGGCAAGACAAGTGAGAAAAAGGAAATGAGTGGTGATCACTGCTATATGAAAGAGAGAAGATTGGGAATCAATTTGGAGTGGTATTAATGAATGGGAAGCTCTGAAGAGTGACAGGAGCACCTCACAGCAGGGAATGTCAAAAGGAGCTAACATTCATCATACATGGGCTGTTAGAGTCATGATCACCATTTGTATGTGGTCAAACTAGGACCCAAACAATGTTTGCATTCTCTCCATTGTATTTCATGGTTCATTTTCCAAACAATGTTTGCATTCTCTCCATTGAATTTCATGGTTCATTTTGGACTCTGCCAGAAACTCAGGCCAACCCCTACCCTCTCTGGATCTCAGACTTCCCCTTACTTGTGAAATCCTTCTTCCAGGACAAGAATGATGCCTTATTCATCTTTCTGTGCCAGGCCCTCCCTGACTTCATGACACATAGTAGGAGCTCCAGAGATTTCTGTAAGAACAGACTCAGGAGACTCATTATCTTCACAGTCCTTAAATGGGAGTTTAGCAATAGGGGAATCAATGCAATTCATTATTTTCAAAGAATCTTATTACCCCAGGTTTCAAAAATGTTCGCTTCTTTTTTTCCCAATTCTCTTACTTTCTGTGACTTTATGATAGTGTCAAAACACGTGATATCAATTACCATGTACTATGATTATCTTAAAATACATTTATGTTCTCCTTCCCTAAACAATGGTAACACATTGATATGATCACACATAGAGTTTTATGAAACAACTCTTCTCCCCATAAAGATGCTTATTCATAGGAGAATTCTGTATTTTCCATAACTTCAAATCTCTTCCTCCTTTAAACATGACAACTGGCAATAAAATGCCCATAAAGAAGCTAGACCAAATAGCTGAAAAGAGAAAGACAAGCGATTCAGAAGACACTGCTCCTACTGCAACTGTCCAAACAGCATCACATTATGATAAAGTTGAATGACTCTCCTTAGCTAATACAGAAATATTGGAAACCACAAGGTGTGATTGCCTGTACTATCTGAGAAGTGCTCAATAAGGAGGCTAAATAAAGGGCAGATACCTATGTTCAAGCCCATGTTGCTGCTGGAAAACCACTGAACCTATAGACTACACAGGTAATGGATTTCATAGTTACATTTTATTTATTTTTTATAGAAAATTTATTATTTTTATTTTATGTGTATGCGTGTATTGCCTGCATGTAGGTAAGTGCACCCGTGTCATCCAAGGCCGACGGAGGTCAGAGAAGGCTGTTGGATCCCCTGGAACTGGAGTTACGGACAGTTGTTAGCTGCCATGTGGGTGCTGGGATTTGAACCCAGGTCTTCTGCAAGAACAACCAGTGTTCTTAACCACTGAGCCATCTCTCCAGCCCCAATAGTTTCATTTTGTACACCTAATCAAGTACCTGTTTTCATTGTGTTAAGGGTTGACATCGGTGCATGAAGAATAGAATGCAACATTCTGCGATGCAAAATTTTTGATGCTGTGATTAGTGTATGCACCAATGGCAAACCTCTGAAGAAGCCCATGGCAAGCAACGTGTCAGCCACTCCCACATAAATGTAAAATATGTAATAGAAGCTGGTACTGGTGATAACTACAACATAGCTGCTGTTTGCAATTTTAGTGCTGTTATTTCCATCTTGAGTAGGATTGCTGTAAAAGAGAGAGAGAGAGAGAGAGAGAGAGAGAGAGAGAGAGAGAGAAATGTTATTTGACAACCAAATGTATCTTTATTGTATTTTATGGAAACAACATTTTTTTTTTTTTTTAGAAATGAGCAAAGAGCTGAAAGCCTGCTTACAACTCCAACTGGTCAACCCTATGGATCTTTGAGTTATATATCCATGGATTCAACCAACAGCAGATTGAAAAACAAATTTTAAAACTATCTTTCTGAACTCGCACACACTTATTTTTTCCTGGTCATCCTTCCCTAAATAATTCACTCTAACAACTGCCAGCATAACATTTACATAATACTGGGTCTCATATAATCTAGAGCTGCTTCCAAGTATGTGCAATGACACGCATAGGCTACATATAAATACTGCATACTATTTTACATATGGGGCTTGAGTATCTGCAGATTTAGTATCCTTGGCCTGGAACCCAACCCCCTCAGAAACCAAATAATGACTGTAATTGGTTTTTCTGCTACCACAATATAGAGGAATATAGAGAGATACAATGAAACATATCGCAATATTTTATAACATCCAAATAACCATTAGAAATAAAACATAGACATAAAATACAATCCATAAAAAGATGAGGCATACTTACTTTTTAAGAAGCCACAGCACAAATAAAGAAGCCGCCACCTGGAATGTAACAATCCACAGTTGACTCTTCTCTACCATTTTACCTACTCTTTCCATACCCACTTCTAAATTCAACATGACCAACATCAAAGTATGCATACTTTCAATTGTTCTGCTTTGTTCTTCCTGGTCCAGCAGCTACAATAATTGTTTTAAGCACCACTATTTGTAGCTAGAGCATATTAAATTTATAGCATTCAGTTTTAACTCAAGTAAATACTTTGGCCACTCCATCATTTGTTCAACAGGAAATACTTTTTGAACTTTAATTATCTGACAGATCATTACTTTGGTTATTATAAATAATTCTATTTGCTATGCAGTGATTAGGTAAGACTAGTACTTATGAGATCCATTAATTATTGGAAAAGGTGAGGTAATATTTATGAAATTCAAAAGTGTCAATAGTGTAAGAATTCACAGCTTATGAACAAAGACCAGATATATTCAGGTTATGTAAAACTTAGGGCTTCCCTAGGTGAAAACATTTGGCCAAAGGAAAATATTTTATATCATACATAAACAAAAAATTTAAGTAACTGTGGTTTTACTAGTCCTTTTTGATCTTTAAATTATTTGGCATTCCAGCCTCATAAAACCTGTGGAGGTATTCAATCTTGTGTCAGTGTTAGCCTGGTTGTAATGTTAGAAATGACTATGAAATTATATAGTCAGCCCATAATAATTTTATGAGAGAATGAAATGGAAAAAGCAAACAGTTGTGAATAAAAGTATTTGGGACATGTACACAGAATAAAATACATAGAATAAAAATATGTTTGCAATGAAGTATTTGTAACTCTTACTATTACATATGTGAATTCACCTTAAGTATTTAATAGTACTATACAAAAATTTAGGGGAACATCTAGCATTAATAAATTACATTGTAAAATATTATATAAAGGTATATGTTTTAGCTAATTTCATAGTGTATGAAAGAAACCTAATACCACTATTCTCATTTTCCTACTTTTCACATTGTACACATTGACTCCATGTAGTGTCTCAACATGAAAGAAAAATTGTTTCCTTGATATTCGAGTCAATCCAAAATAAGAGGAAACTCAGCAAGACCCCAGGCTTTTTCAAGTCTTTATTCTTATATAAATGTCTTCCTAATTCTTAAGACTAATCAAACTACTGCAGACCTAGGCAAGGGCACATGTTCTAAGGCACTCCTTGATTATTACTTTTATCCTTTGTTCCAATTAAAGGAGTGTCAATAATGCTGTCATTGCCAGTAGTCTCTGTATGCAAGTAAATCTCATAAACAAATAAAACAGTAATGGAACAATAAACAAAACAGTTTTCTAAAGAACAGGCCTAGAAATCCTAGCAAAATATTTATTTCCTGGCTCTATCACATGAAATGACCAACCCAAACCACTTCTACTGACTACACTAACAGCATTTTTAAGGGCTTGGTAGAAGGTCTTTAGAAAACTATTTGGGACTTAGAGAAACAATTGATTCGCCATAGCTTCAAGCTTTATAGCTTCAAGGTTATAAAGTTCATGTGGTTTTTTTTTCCTAGATGATGATGAAAAAGAAGAGGGAGGAGGACGAGGAAGAGGAAGAGGAAAAGGAGAAAGAAGAGGAGGAGGAAGAGGAGGAAGAGGAAGAGAGGAAGTAGCAGCAAAAAGATTTATATTGTTCATTTCTTGAGGGCTTTAAACATGGTTCCATATTACATAAAAAGCAATACATTTTAATTCATAGATTTTCATACTTCATGGGACAGACAAGTCATGCTCTGAATACATATCCAATATAAGTAAGTAAAATGCCCTAAAAGAACCATCATCAGCCAAGAGCAGAGGTGATGTTATGATAGCACATTACACCTCCATTTAAATAAGAATGTAAAGAGAGCTACCTAACTGACAAATGCCTTCAGGATATTAGCCAAAAACATGCCATCAATTTTTAGATTGTTTCCTGCTCCAAAGAAGGCTCATTATTGATTTTTTTCAGTAATAGTGAAAGCTCAATCAATAAAGATGAGCTATTTAGCATTTACATTATCTTTAATACTTTAGTTTTTTGCCTGATGACAAAGCACTGTTGTCTTTTTCTTTTTAAGGTGAATGTTCTGGTTTGAATATGAACTGTTCCCATAGATTCAAGTATTTGAACACTTGGTACCCAGATGGCAGCATGGTTTAGGATAGTTGTGGAACCTTTAGAGCTTGGACCTCGATGGAGTGGCTCACTGGCGGCAGGCCTTGGGATTTTATGGTCTGGCCAACTTCCTGTTCACTATCTGCTTCCTGAGTGCAGAGGTAAGGCAACCAGGCAACTTCCTGCTCCTTCCACCACATCATCCCAGCCTTCTTGAAATATATCCCTTCACACTCTATACCAAAATAAATCCTTCCTCCTTTAAGTTGCTTCTGTTGGCTGTTTTATCACAGCAACCGGACAAGAAATACAGTGATCTATAATAATTCATACTTATGTAGCAGTTCAACACACAGCAAAATAATTATATGTCATTCCTTCTGCAAGGCACCTAAGTTTCATTCAGTGGAGCTGCCTGGGACAAAGGTTCTACAAATTAACAGGAATCATCACTACATTCAGACACTTTGTTCTTAGAAAAGTTCAAGGGAAGTAAAGTGATCCTTCAGTATGGAGGTTCAAATCATTAAAGGGCTGCTTCAGACAATATGAAGCACAGCCTGGGTTTTATTCATATATATTTGGTATGACTAGCAGAGATTAGTAACATAAATTTGAAATATATGTCAATATAATATCTATTACTACTCATGTTTGAGTTATTATGTATTTACATTTTAAAAATATTTTATTTATTATTTTTATGTGTATGTGTGTATTGCCCGCATGCAGGTTAAGTGTACCCGTGTAATGCAATGCCTGCAGAGGACAGAAGAGGCTGTCAGATCCCCTGAAATTGGAGTTACGGACAGTTGTTAGCTGCCATGTGGGAGCTGGGATTTGAACCCGGGTCTTCTGCAAGAACAACCAGTGTTCTTAACTGCTGAGCCATCACTCCAGCCCCTGTACTTACCTTTTTGTTGAAGTGTAAAAGGAAATGGAAATTTCAATATATCACTATTATGAACTTGTCAACCTCAAGCTATCTTGAGCTTTGTAATAATGATATGACCATTAAGGATATTGATAACTATAGCCATTAGCATTGTTTAATATATAACAAGCCCTACATTAAGTGTTTAATAATCACAAATTCTCTTAATCCACAAAATGGTCTATAATCTGCTATTATTTCAGTATCCACTGTATAGATAACGATATTGAGTGAGAGAGGTGAAGTAATTTTCCCAGGTTCATAGAGTTCATGAGACAAAGTTAGAACTCATACTCAAGGTGATTTGATTCCAGTTGATAGTATGCTATATTGCATCTCAACCAGCCTCCATTTTGGTTTGTTAATTTAAAAGGGCAGGGCATAAGAACGGATATTACCAAAACTCAGAGCAAATGGAAACCAATAGTTTCTTGGTGAGGTCCTATGTATATCCTTTTGATATATACCTTTGGATGTTTGACAGTACTGTTAAGATCATGAAAAATGATCATACTTCATATAGCCTTCTTCATTGTTAGAAACAGCATAATAATAGAGAAAACATGTAGTTATGAGCTTCAGTTCCAGTTGTTTTTACTGTCAGAAGAGCTAGTGGGTTCTTCACTGGATAATTTCCTTTCTGAAGGCAAATGATCCCTAAGGTTAGATTTTGGTTATGATAAGACAATATCTGTAAGTAATCATTCATAGGCTGAATCAAATCTATAGATATGTTTTCTCATGTGCATATAAAGCTCATTTGTTTGTATTTATTTAATTAACTGTTCACATTTTCAAATAGGAAATATTTATGTAAAAATCTGGATTTCTACCTTCATAGTTAAGATCTGATAAACAGATTCCAAATTCCCTCATTCCCTTTTGGAAAGCAAGTCCTAGGCTGGTGCTGAGTTACAATTGCCCCCTTCAAACAACTGGGAAAGCAAATGCTCCCCACTCAGCCTCACCACTGCTCCCTGCCCCACCAATGCTCTCTGTGGGATTTACATAGCCTTAGTCATTTAGGATGCCTCTAGGCATTTACATAGCTGCTCTGAACTAAAAATGCCTCAGTACTAGACCATGTGGTGCTATGGTCAACTGTGCTATTGTCTTTCCCCATCCTTAAAAAAAAAATCTTATAGGGTTTATACGGAGTACGATATTGTATAACTGTATTAACTCTACTGTAAACCTAATAATTTACAGCCAATTTTGAAAGAGAAGCATCTTAGCTCTGGAAATTGTTATTGAATATGTCAATGCTGTTGTAATGAAATGCCTCTTCTAATCATTTGGTTATGAAATAAATAATAAACTGAAAAAAAATGTCAGTGCCAAAGGGGAAACGAGGAAGGACTGGCTGGTCCAGTGAGGCACAGCCTCCACAGGCTCTCCCCCCTTGGTGCCTCAGTGATTCGCAACTGTCAGTAATAATAATCAGATATATAGAGATTTGAAACGCATGTGCAAATATCTTAATGTCAATTACATTGAAAATGAATTTTTCTGTATGAAACTGTGTATTTTAATAATGAAATGGAGATCTTTTTTAAAGGTTAAAACCTCACTTAATTTTATGTCTTATAGGGTTTATACTGGGTAAAATATTGTATAAATGTAAAATTCAACTGTAAACCTAAAAATTTATAGCCAATTTTGAAAAAGATGCATCTTAGCTCAAAAATTGTTATTGAATATGTCAACGCTGTTGTAATGAAATGCTTCTTCTAAGTATGGGGTTATTAAATAAATAATAAACTGAAAAAAAAATCTTGTAGAAATGGACAGACAAGACATAGCATAGCACAGCATAGCAATCACAATGGGCTGCTGAAAACAAAATTTCTGTAAGCAAGTGGATGATTTAAACTCCTAAAAGGGACACCATTTCTTGGTCACTAACATTAATTATGTCATTTTTGTGAGGAAGTGGTCATTTGAAGAGTCAACTGCATATTTAATAATGTAATATCTAGAGTTAAATTTAGAATTTCATGGAGAATTCTTTTCGATGCTTAATTGCAATTTAAACAAACTCCTTATAGTCTGAGCTTTAGAATAACTATTAAAAACATCACAAATGCAGATATAATAATGAACAATATGAGGACTACATAGGTAGTAACATTGTACAGTACTTTGGATTCATGTTAGTGGCTATTGCCACAAAACCAAACAAACAAAAATGTTATTTGAGATGATGATGGGTATGCTATTGGCTTTGTTACAGCAACCTTTTTCCAGTATTTATGAATCTTATAACATGCTGCATGTTTCAAATATACACAATAAAATTTATTTCATGCAACTTTTCATATGCAATGTTTGTATTTAAGCTTATTTTATATGCTGGGTCTGAAGTACTAAAATAGCAACAGTATTCTAATTATTGATTTTCAGAAGTTAAGAACACATGTGAAACTACCCTGATATACATACATAAATTTAAATATACATAGATACATATTTATATGTATGTACATGTACAAATGCATAGACTTTTCCAAATTATTACTAATTTAATTTTAAATCACAATAACATTTACAATCAAACATTCTTACCTCAATGAGAAAAACAACTAAGCACCAAACAAACACTAAAAGCAAAGTCTTATGGAGAGTAATATATCGAAGGTATGTATTCCATGTAGTCACTGCTGGTATGTGAACTATGTCATCAAAAAAGCATTCCTGACAAAAAAAGAATCATGATTATTAAAATGAGGCAATCCCATTTCATACCACCATTGTTGCTTTATTTTTAATCCAGGGAAATAGAGTTAGAATCATACCACTGAAAGCTAAGTAAATTTTAACAAGTATGAATCACTATGAATGACATAGGTGATGTCCCCATCCACTAGGATGCCTGCTAGATTAATACAGATTTTTGAAAAATGTGACACACTGTAACTCTTCAAAATTTTAAGTCTATCACTGGTTATATTATTGCATTCCTGTAGGCCTATTTTAGCATTTACATAGTAACAAACCTTTCATCAAATGAGTGGTGACATCAAAAACTGTCCACAATTCTTCTTGATGTAATTTGTTTTAATGGTCCATGACAAATGGAGTTGGCATCTTGCTAGCTATCAATGTCTTCTGTTTTTAAAAACTCAAATTAAATTTGTATATTCCTTAGACATATAGGGTTTTTTCCAAGAACAATTTAAATTACAAAATTCTAGTCCTAAGTATATTCACCTAAAATCTTTTGTCTTTTGAAAGAGTTAGTTTAAAAATACATTGAAAAGGGAAGATTCTAGGAAGTCTAAAGAAAAAAAGATAGATTTGTTCCTCATTAAATCTGTAATAGTCATAGAAGAAACATTAGAATCACAAAGACGGAGTCCTATGAAATTGGAGTAGGGTTTGCAGGTTCTAGATACAGATTTGAGAATTAGATTGGCCTGTACTTGAATTCAAGATTCATTACTAACATCCCAGGAGTTGCTTGAATGGGGACAAATAGTTGGACTTCTCAGAATTATAGTTTCTCTGTCAGTAAGGAGGATAATGTTATCATCTTCTATCACAGTGTAGGGGACAAAGTGTGTTACCTGGAGCTTGAAGCAATTTGACTAGGAAACTAAAAATGGTCAAAGAAACCTTTCTTTCCAACTCACACTAAAATTTCTAGGCTTCAATTTTAGAAATTATCTTAAACGTATATTAAATCATATAGATTAATTCTTCTTCAGGAAACCTTACTAAAATGATAGACATACTGAACCTGTATGTTTGGGGGGATTTATCATTTCAGAACAGAAAATTCTGGCCTAGAGATGTCAATGACTTGTAGTTAGCCAAAAGGTACATTACTGTTAAGGAACTGGAGTCATTAAACATGCCAGTCCACCACAACACTACAATTAACTTCAGCTAAGACAGATACATTTTCTAGTGAATAAGAATCCTGTTTTATATTGCTTTCTCTTTTAAGAAAAGGCATTTTGTTCTTTAAGACATAGCAACAGGTCTTCAGTCAGAATATTAGCATTAATATATGTTGAGCTTCATATATCTTCCCAAAGAAACCTTTTCAGAAACACAATGTATAAGGCAAATTTAAAAGATTAGAACAAGCAAACCAACTAAACTAAAACCAGAGGCCAGATGTTTGCATTCCTTCCAGAGGCCATACCCATACAGACTACATAACTGCAACTATTTGTTCATACATTATTTATTCTTGACTTCAGTCACAAAAGTGCTTAAGCAGACAATTGTTAATTTATAATAATGAATACCACAGGCCCAGTAAAGAAACTCAATACTAAGTTCTTGCTTTGGCTTACAACACATTTTATGGGAAGAAATATTTACACTAAAGCCAGAAATAGTTGATTATATATATATATATATATTGAAGTTGCTTATAATGGGCAATGGACTCTGAACCTTTTAAGTCTTAAAATGTACCTTATCCTAACTGCATAATTTCAGTAATTTTCTTATATATACCACATGTTGCATAGCATTCAAATGTAGTCTCTGTATTGAGAAAAAACACTAACAAATTATATATACCTTTAAATCTTCTTCATTAATTTCCTCAGTGATGGTCAAGCTGCTCTCTTGAGATAATCGTCTTGAATATATATCCACTTCATTTAAGCTTGTCTGAGGTGCTATAGAGATTTTTCGCATGGATGCTCTTGTCCTCTGGTGACTGCTGGGGCCCTGGTTGGATGAATATGTCATCATGTCTAAAACAGACTGTCTTCTTCTGCCAGGAAATGTGGGGCCAGTATTGATCAGATTGCTGCGAGGCAGGACTGCATCTCCCTGCTCAGAATCTGGAGCCAGGGACAGCCTCCTTTCTTGGGGCTCATCAGAATCTCCTTCAATGCTATTCCTTTGTAGTGGAGTCTTTTGCACAACTGAAAATTTCTTTCTAGAGTTGATTGAATTCAAAATAGAGCTCTTCCTTTTTTCTCCATACTCTCCAGCCTGTCTAAAAGACTGCTTGGTTTTGTTCCAGGTGACAGAGGAATCATCTACTGAGAACCTGCGTAAGGTCTCAGTTAGAATTGAATTTCTTCTTTCCTCAGTAAACCGGTCAAAAGTATCATATCCCATGAGTTTCGAACTAAAGTCTGGTCGTAGACTTTGTAATTCAGTAAATGTACCATAAAAATAGGTGCTACCCTCATGCAAAATTAATATTTTGTCAGCTCTCTTTAAATGTTCCATTTTAGATGTGACCAAAATCCTAGTTTTGTTGGCCATCAACTTGCAGACACAGCTTTAAGAATATGAAGATACAAACAAGATGTCATTTTAATAAATATTTTAATAATATATACTTAATTTTAGCATATCATTGTTTCACTACATAAAACTCATGTATCATTTTTTTAGTTTTTGTAATATGATCATAAGGGTAAATACTCTTTAATAACTAATCTGGGTCCTCTTAAATTATAGCATGAAATATAAGCTGTATAGTATACTAGCAGACTTTGAATGAAATTAAAATTTTGATAATAAATGAGTGTCTGATTTTGAGCAAATCATTTATCCTTTAGGGTCTTGGTTTATTTCCCTAGAAAATAAAATAATTGTTAGAGATCTTTAATGTACATATAAGTTTATATTTCCATATATCTTGTAAAATATCAGAGCTTTTGGGGTTTTTTATTTTCAGCTAATTTCCTGTTGCATTTTAGATTGACTAATCTGATTTTATTAAAGAACACACAACAAAAATGAGAATTATATAGCAAATTTAACCTTCTTCCAAGGAAATTTTTGTCTAGTCAAGAAGTACATCTTGAAGAGAACTCTCTAGGAAAAACAGCGTGTTTTAGCCATTAAAATATTATATACCATATAATAAGGGCCATCACCACATTCTTATATAAACACAATAGAGTTGTAGCTAAGTTTATATGCATAAGACATTAGTTATAGTCACAGCATCATAAAATAGTATTTGGGGTATTAACTTTAATGAAATTTGTTCTTTCTCAACATTAAGCTGGAGAGGCCTATTGGGAACAGACTTCTATAAGTACTCCTGGAAGGCTGTGGTACAAGCCCATACTGCTGGCTCTGACTGGGGTCTTCAGAAACAAAGGGAGCATCTTGCTTTTCTTTAATATCAAAAATGTTTTCTCCCAAAATGAAGCAAAAGTCTATTGTATGTAAAACAAAACAATAAAACAAGCAACTAAAACCAAGCATAATGACTTCTAGAAGCAAACTGAATTAGTGATCTAAGAATAGTTAATTTTGCCATGGAAATGATGGCATGGTTCATGTGAAAATCTGGAGCCACCTTCCTGCTAAAGCTACCAGATGCATCATCTGTAACATGACATGTCACTCAAGAGTTTGTGCCTTTGCTTTTTTATTAAGTGACTTGTAAAAATGTATCTTAAATTGAATTGCCCTATACTTAAGATGGTTGAGGTTATCCAGCATTCGGAACACAAAGAAGTCAGAAAATATAAGCACTGGTCATTACATGGCAATCCAGAGACCTAGAAGATAACTGAACTGGGACAGTTCCCTTACTACAAGCCTAAAGTGATGGAGATGAAACAGGCTTTGAGGGAAGTAGAAATATGACTGGGGACTTCTAAAGCCTTCTAAAATTAAAAATAAGTGAAAAAATTAAAATGAACTCTTAGGGTACTTTGTCATAGTAGGTGCTTGTTCGATATAAATTAATTCAGAAGCTTATGAGCAAAAAGTGGGAAGTGGGAAATGTTGAACGGAGATGGTGTTGGTGGGGCTTGGAAGCTCATTCAGAGACTGAGGATACGATATTCTTGAGACTGTGACTGGACAAACTGTTCTAGTACATATCATTTGACTAATAGTAACTTAAGATAAAATATCAAACAAAAGAATGCCACATGATTTCACTTCTGGAAAAAAAAAAAAAACACTACCAGAATGCAAAGCTTCTGTTGGCTTCGTGTTTTAAATGTAGTGAAGTCAAGAATTAAAATATTTTATTGATTATATCAAAAAAGGAAGCAAGCAGGGCTCTAAAACAGTTGGAATATTGAAACTGTCCTAAAGTAAAACACTGAACTAAAGCAACAAATAATTAATAAACTAAATTCTATGAAAAGTACTTCTAGAAACAATGCAGTCATTTAGCCATCACAGAGAGAGAGACAGAGAGAGACAGAGAGACAGAGACAGAGAAAGACAGAGACAGAGAGACTTAAGAATGTCATAGCACTCGGGAGGCAGAGGCAGGCGGATCTCTATGAGTTCAAGGCCAGCCTGGTCTAGAAAGTGAGTTCCAGGCCAGCTGTGGAGGGAGACTCTGTCTCAAAAAGACCAAAAACAACAAAAAAAAGTTTCTTTTAAGACTACTATAATGACTATTCTAATAAACCAGTTTTGTCCTTAAAATTCTTTTTAAAAATTGAAACCAAGTCATATAACTAACTGTTGCTCTTAGGGACTTCACATCCATTGAGCCCTAACAAGAGCTCCACAGAATTCCAAGTTCTCTGTGACTCAGGAGGGCACGCCCAAAGAAGGCTTGAGGGAGATGCACAGTCTGGGTATTCACTAAACAAGTCATTCAGTGTGTGTAGTTCATTGAGCAGTTTACTATCTACTGACTACATAAAACATAAAACATTTTCATAATACTAAGAAAAGTATGTGACAATTTAAATATAATGTCTTAAAATGCTAGAATATATGCAACAACTTAGCAATAATGTAAAAACTACATAGATATCAATTGCTACAAGAGGATAGCAATGGAAGAAACTGGCTTTACTTGTGGATATCAGAAAAGGTTTCAGTAGAAGCAATCTTCAATCTTGGCCATGATGGGAAGGCCAGATTTGGTAAGTGACTTATTATATTCTGCCATTCTGAGTCATAATAATGGTGCACGTGTTCCTTAAGAGCTGATATGTAGTTAATATACAGTCATTTGTATCTTTTAGTTTAAGTGTTATAAGTAACTTATTCAAAGAACATACTTTTCAAATATTTGTTGTTCAGTTAAAATATCTAGGTATCCAAAAGGAGAATCCAACAGGTACAAATCAGCATCTTTATAGACCGCTCTATAAACAAAATGGAAATGAAGTTAGATTCCCTCAATGTTTCCCATGTCATGTAGTTACAGACATTTGAAAGCAGTCTACATGCATTATAGTGTGATCATTACATTGCTTCACTAAAATAACACCCTTCACAATACAGGTCAGAGATGGCACTGTTAGAATCTTCAATTATGCAAATGTTTTCAATAGTCCAGATTGTATTAAAACAGGAATAATGAGATAAACTGGGGATGACTTTGGGAGAATCTTATACTGCAAAAATTGCTGAAGCAGTTTTGCTCATTTATAAATGGCATAAATGAGCAAAATTCATAAACTGAATTGCCCTATATAATTTGATATGTCTTAAGAAAGAAAACAAACTTTTGAAACAATGGTATCTATATAGACCCAAGAACTATGTTATGTGATAGCAACCTAACTGTGAAAACCAGATGGTCACTGCCCTCAAAGATCTTGTATGTTGCAAGGAAAAAGAAGTAGACTTATTCACATTGTAAAATGTTAGAGACAGAAAACAAATTGCAGCACTTATATGAAATCATATTCTAATGTTGTTCCAAGTACTAACTTGAAAACAGTGCTACTGCAGTTATGGTACACACCTCACATTGCATTCCTTCCTTACAGTCTGTCTCTCTTTCATAGGTGTTACAAATAAGACAAAGATTAATGGCTTACAATAAAAGCTTATACACATATTATTTTACGTTTTACATTCAAAATAAAACTTTGTAAGCAAGTTGAATTCATTTACAATAGTTGAAAGATAAAGATGTATTGTCTAAATTAATTGAAATGAGATCATTTCATTATAACTTTTAAAAATTTTCAGGCATGATTGCTAATAATACTACCTTTATCCCAATTACATAGGATTCTGTGCTTAATTACCAATACTTTCATAAAATTGCATTCAGTCATCACATAATTAAGAAAAGTAATGAAACAAAACAGAAATAGCAAAACTTCTGAGAAAAACCATAAAAAAATTTATATTGTAAATTATCTGGAAGACAGAACAGAAGAGCTAAAAGGCACCACCAAAATGTGCCCACAAGTCTTTGCCCAAATATGGTTCTTACATCTCTCTCTGCAGTATAGTTTAAATATAATTCATCCACTCTGAAACTCTTATTGATGCTTAATTCCCACTGTGAAATATTAAGAGGACAGAAAATTAGTCCAACTATGTTGTTTAGAGGTATTACCTTTGGAAGATGATTAGGAGAGATCATCAAGGTATGACTCTTTATGATTGGATGCTGGTGGCTTTATAAGAAAAGGGAAATCAGAGGATATAGATACACACACACACACACACACACACACACACTTTTTCTTAGCATGTGATTTCCTATGCTGTCTCAGGGATCTGCCAATGAGAGGCCATTATGAGACATGGCCCCTTAACCTTGGACCATAAAAAGGAGCAAAACATAAACTGCCTTTCTTTAAAATTTACTCAGAACATAGTGATAAGTTATTAGTAATAGAAAATAGAACAAGCATTCTCCTTCATATCTAAGACCAGTTTCTCAAGAATTAAGCCAGATAGATGATAGATAGATGTTAGATAAATAGATGATAGATAGATA